ATATTATGTGAAGATAAATTAGGGATAAATTTTAAATTTTCTATTAAATAACATAATTAAATAATAAAATAATAGTATGACCAAAGGTTTTGAAAAAGTGAGGAAATGTATAATTAATAAGTGGTTATGTATAATTAGTGAATGATTAATTATAATTAATGACATGTTTGAGAATTATGAAACTTAAAAGGGAAAAAATGGAAATCACAAGTTTTGACAAGACAAAAAAAAATCCTCTTTTATATGTAGTATAGATATAGATATAGATTAGCACTAAAATATCCTGTTATTTCCCCCAATTTGTAGTTATACGCTGTCACTTTTTTTTACTACATTTATATAGTTTAAAGTTTTCAAAACTTGCACTTTAATATTTTGTCTGATAAAAACGTGAGAATTTTTCCATGCGACACTCACAAACTAGTTTTACAACTTATTGGCTCTTATATTTGTTGAAATTTTGTTGAATTTTACTGTTAAATCTACCATAATCTTTTCTAAAATATAATTGGAGTATGTCTAATATGTAATTATGGTGTATTTAACAATAAATTTAATAAATATTAAGGACTAAGATGTTCTTAGATTAGCTTATGAGTGTCACATGAGAAAAGTCGGGAAAAAGTTATCGTGTTTGCATAATAGAAGGTATTAAAGTGCAACTCTTAGAAACTTCAGGGTATATAATTGCTACCAAAAACAAGGGTATGTAAGTGCATATCAGGGGAAACTATATGATATTTAAGTATTAATAGCCATTTGTTTATCCAATATTAAAATTTTCCTCTTCCTTTCTTATAAATGCACTTTTCATAATATTCCTCCCGGCATAAATTTACAAAGGATTTTGAACCCAGAAAAGAAACAAATTTGTTAAAAATTTATAACCTTGTGAAATTATTGAAATGATCCTTATGAAATTAATCACCTTCTCCTGCCCCACAAAAAGTATAGATAACAAGAACAGGAGCTCCTTCACGCATGCGTTCTCTTCTTTTATTTTTAATTTTTAATTTTTAATTTTTAATTTTTTGAGAATAGCATGCGCCTCTTTTAGTCATTTTCATGAATTTGCTAGCTGTAAGACATTAATACAAATTTCCACTTTCTTTTCAATCATCGTTTAATTTTTCACGAAAATGTTTTAACAAATCTGAGTTGTGGCCAGTTCGCCTTTAACTCGATATGTTAATTTGTGGAGCTCATATTCTAGATTAGCATCTAATCAGCAAATTAAAGATCGGATTAAATGTACATGCATTGGCAATTTAGAAACAGGCTTGTTCGTATTTTGTTGTCGATCTCCTTCAAATATCTGACAAACGGTTTCAGCTTGTACTTTTCGTTGTATACAGTTATAAGTAACTATCAGCTTCATGTTTGTTTCGGCAAATGATGTATTTGCTTTATGGGGGGTTCTTCACGCTGCTTTTGTGACTTGAGGATGCAGTACTTTTGAAATTGAGAGTGCATCTGTTTACTCTAGGGGCCTGTTTATTTTCAGTTTTTTTTGGTGGGAAACAGTGAAAACCCACCTGAGAAGAAATTAAATTTTCTATATTATAGCATTTTATTCTTGCGTTTGTTTCAAATTTTTGTGAAAGCTTTTTATAAATTGGCTTCAACCCGCCTCCAATTTCTAGAACCAATTAATATCCGCGGGTTTAGGGGAGGAATTAGTTCCCGGAAGTTTTTCCGCTGCTTATGCAGATGGATTTATTTCCGCAAATTTTGGAAAACGAAACAAAACGCCATGGCGCTAGCAACCACTTCTGGGAATATAGAGGGCTGGGGTTTCATACTTTGAAACTCCATAGCTACGATTAGTTTATGGAAATAATGGGAATGAGGTGACGACTTATTTTGCTAAATAAACAATCAAGATATAATTATTTTGTGAGGCTTACCTCATTAATTGTCACGTCAAAAGGCATGTACCTCACCACTGTTATCTCTTGGTAACTCATTTAGCTAAATTAGCTGTCACCTCATAACCATCAAACCCTTTGTTAATTCATGTGAAATTCCGAAATATATGTGAGATGAGTTTTTAGGAATCACTTAAAAAATATGAGATATCTTTCTGCCATTCTTTGAGGAACTAGTGCTTTCTCAATCTTGTTAAAATATACATATGTTCTTTGATCTCCTTATTTGTTATTTTTCCTTAAGAAAATTAAATTAACTAATTGTAAATTAACTAATTGAAATAGATCATATGCATGAATCAAATCCTTCCCCTCTCCAGCCCAGCTTAAACATTAATTTCTTTTTGCACTAATACAAAACAGGTCAGCCCAAACGGTTGGAACCGTTTGGGAAAACCCCCTCCCAAACGGTTACAACCGTTTGGGCGAGGTTAAAAGCCCGTTTGGGCTAAAGCCGTTGGGGACGAGTTGTCCCCAACGGCCGCCCAAACGGTTGTAACCGTTTGGGCAAAATCCCAAACGGTTACAACCGTTTGGGGTGTAAAAATTTGCCAAACGGGTGTAACCGTTTGGCCAAATGTTAGCCCAAACGGTTAAAACCGTTTGGGCAATTTTTCGCCCAAACGGTTTCAACCGTTTGGGCTATTTATTTTAATAGTTTTTAAATTTTGACTTCTTTATTTATCTACTTGTTTATATACACATCTCACACAATAAGTACTCAACATCTCACAATGAAATCAAAATATTCTCAAACTTTGATAAATATCCAATGTTATATATTCATACACAATGTTTGCTCAATATACAATAAGTACTCAACATCTCCCAAAAGGGATTTGATATAATGAAAGAAAACTAGTCAACTAGGATTAACCCATACAAAACTGATCAAGCTAGTATAAAAATTAGTAAACTCCTTTAAATTGATTTTCTTATCTTTTGACATCTCTAAAAACAGATCCAACTATCCATACGTTTTTTCCTTATAATTTATGAACGGAAGCATCCTACCTCATATTTCTCTCATCTGGGACAAGATATAACATGTAATATTTTGATCAATAATGAAATAAAGTGAACCAATTAATTCAGCATGCAAATAACATCGAATAGAACTCTATTAAGGACCATTTTGTTCGAGTGATTGTTTACTAGAAACTTCAATAAAAAAATATCAATACTTTTGGCTCTCTTCTGCCTTTCATCATATCTCACTTCAAAGTGCAAATTTATCTCCATATAGCTTTGCTGTACAGTGTACATAAATAGACAACATAAGATTTATAGCTTTCAAAAGATAAACACGTTCTGTATGACAATTTATTTTCTGAAATAAAAAGAAGAGAGAAGTAGGAAAAAGCAAAATAGAAGGACAAGAAGGGAGACTCTATATGCAAATGATTGGCAGTCAGTGCTTACTTTCTATTTTGCATTGTTTCCTTAAAATTCCTATTCCCTGGATGCTCAATTCCTCTGGCCTGAGGACAAAATAGATAGTAAAAGAGGCAAACATAGTAAGAGCTCGAAGGAGATTTAGGAAGAATCAATAATCACCAGTTGAAAGCTACTATAAGTATTGTAATAATCATGATGGAAGTCACTGGTGATCAAAATAAAACATACCTTCATGACCTTCAGAGTTATCAAGCATAATGCAGAGGAGAAGGCCATTTGCAGGAAGCACAATCCCACTGGATAGGGAAACTTGATTTATTCAGATGATAACAGCAGCTGCAAGTATAAACCAGAAGCTAGTCATTGGCGGTGTATGAACTATGAAGTTAAAAGGTGCTGCATTTCTTCCTTTGGAAGAGCATTCAACATGAGAAAAGAATAATTCAAGCACCAACCATAAGAAGTGATCTAAAAAGGGAGTTGAAGGCAAAAGGCAAAACACTCGAAAATTAATTGACCTAGCTTATTCAAGGTCATGACAAACATTTATGGCTTCTTTTTAAATATGAATGATAGTCTTCTAACTGTTCTGGCAATAAAATTTCTGAAGTTTAATTAGAACAATGACGATAAAGAATCAATGCTTTTGAAAAGTATTTGGGAAACCATAACAGAGATAAATCTGATGTTCCTCTATTTTTAGCAGAAAAGTCATGTTCTTCCCCAATATTAATAGAACTAACAGGGCCACGGTTCAAATCAATCTTAGTTGTCCCCACTGCTAATGAACTAAGAAACCTAGATTTTCCTTCAATTTCAACCGGAAAATTTACAAAATCAGCAATTTCTTTAACAAGAGATCATGCTTACACAAATTTGTCAGCAAAATAGGATCCCTATTACCGCAAACTCGCCATTGGACCCTTCTCTGTAGCTCTTCTGTGAAAATAAAGGAAAGAAATCGCACTTAATTTCGTCAAAGCTAGGGCTTTTAAATTTGAAAGAGAGAGGGAGCCAAGTGAACTATGAGATACCCATATTGATCGTCAGCCCTCTTCAAACCTTCAAGAAATAAATAAGATTTAAGAAAGAAGAGTTAAAAAAGAGAAAAAAGGGGGGAGTTTTAGGGTTTGATTACTGTTCTTGGGAGCTCGATTCTCGTCGAGGATTCCAGTGGGAATGGCTGATATTTGTTTCTTTACCCTAATTTAAAAGAAAGAAAAAGAACCTGATGAAGACGAGGAGAATGGAGGACCTGATGAAGACGAGGAGAACGGAGGAGATGCATATGAAGATGACGTGGAGGCGGCGGTGGGAGCGTAGGAGGAGGAAGAAGATGGCAGAGGGATTTGAGAGATTTGGGTTTGAGATGACGGATTTGAGGGGATGGGGTTAAGGGGCGCGGGGATTTTAGATTTTGGGGGAAATTTTTGGGGGGAAGCGGAAGAGAACGGAGAAAAATATGTTTTTCTGAAAAAAAAACTAAATCATCCAAACTCTACATATTCCAAATGGTTAAAACCGTTTGGGGTTTGCATTTGGGATTTTTTAACAGTCCAAACAGTTTTAACTGTTTGGGTTTTGTTATCCCAAACGGTTAAAACCGTTTGGGCTGTCCTGTTTTGTACTAGTGTTGCTGCTAACATAAACATTAATCTGGATAATCTTCAATGACATTCTGACGAAGTAACAGTAAAAGAGATATGTACAGTTATGGTTCGCTTTCGTTACAACTAAAATCTTATCTTCGTCACTCACACTCATTCATATCTTTAAACAAAAAAAAAAGCAGTTATACAATTATATATATATATATATATATGATCCCTTGAGTCCTTGACCCTCTACCTACAAGCAACAAGCCTACACACACAAAGTATCGCATAAACATCAAGGAACAAACCCAAGCAAACAGCACATCCACTACCAAACGCTCATCACTCCAACATCAACATAAACCAAAACCACTTCTAAGTTTACCTAGGCACCTAACATCCAACAGGAGGAAGATCAGGCCGCTTTTCTCCGGTCACGCCGTTCACATCCGACTCGTTAACCGCCGCACTCCCAAAGAGCAAGAACCCCACTGCATGCCCTAATATCACGACAATCAATACACCAACATTGAACGACATGACGGCCAACATCGTCAAGTACATGAGCCCGACCCTGATCGCGTGCAACGCGGTCCGCGCGAGCCCAACCGCAACATTCGGGCTCCTGCTAGCCCTCTTGATCAGCCTGCAGTGGTTGCACCACTCGTATAGAACCGCGAGCAAGAACACAGCGATGAGCGCGAGCACATACATGCCAGCTCGGCCCGCCAGCGTCAAGAGAATCTCGAAGTGCGCCCCCAAAGAAAGGTCATCGTGGGTCCAGTGGCATGGTCATGGGCATAGGTTTTGTTGCTCGATGTTCTGTGCGTGTGATCATTGATCCATGTTCAGGGCCTATGATGAGGATCGGAAAATGAGGGAGGATTTTTTTTTTTTGAGGGGGTTGAGGAGAATTTTGAAGAAGAGAGAGAGGGTTAATGGTTATTTTATAGGTGGAAGTTGTACTTTTTAGTAGTACATTTCCCGTAAAAATGGGAAGATGAGGAAATACATGCAGTACGAACATGAGATTATTTCTTTCCTTGTTAATTTATTACTAACCACACAGCTGGCTCTTTGTGTCGCTATTTACTCGGGTAAGGATCAATGTAGGCCCAAATCAGTGAATGCCTGCTAAACACGCCGTTATCAAACGTCAAACTGAATTGTATAACTAAGAAAAAGTCTAACGGCGGGTCGATTTTGGACTGCCGCTGGACATTGACGCAAATTATAACGGGGGAAGGGGTTAGCTATGGTTTTAGGGTTGGGTTTTGTTGGAATGGTCCCCAAATCTCATAAATGAGGAAGGAGTCTGTTGTATTAATTAGGAAAATTGAAAGGTTAGTCAACATTGGAAAATGAAAATATGGAAGTTTGAAGGGTTATAATGCGTAGGAAGATGAAAATGATGTTGTTGATGTCAGTCATCAAACATGAGGTTATTTGGGAGCTTGTGGAGAGATTAGGGTCATCTAACTCCTCTTAATGAATGGTTCCGGGGCTTGTTGTTTTTCCATGCACATAAAAGAACTCATAAGAGGGTGGAGTTGGGTTCTCCGGTTGTTCCTTCGACGATTAAGTCAGCAGGTGATCTTGAGCGGGGAAGTACAGAGTTTGCTCTTAGTTATATTAATAGGCCCGAGGGCCTTACCTCATGCAATGCTGCTCCTTTTATAATGGACTTGAGGGGTAAGAAAGTAACTTGGGCCGAGTCCGGCTAGACAGCTGAGTCGGCAAACATGTGCTACGTGTTAGTTGTTGAAGGAAGTGAGTCACCTGGTCATTTATTGTGGGAATGACAACAGGTGCTGACTGGGTCTGATGAGTCATGAAGGCTATGGAGGTTAGAGCAATGATGATGCTGTCAGGGCAGTTAATACGAGAGTAGTCGACTGACGAGGGGTTCGAGGTAACTGTTGTCTTTCGACTCCTTAGGTCTAGGGCCGAGAAGCACCGCCTTTTGATTCAGTTACGCGAGATGTCGACTAAACAGTGAGCCGAGTCAGGTCGCTTGTGAAATCAATTGAGGGGTTGGCTGAGTAGTATCACCTTTTGACTCGGTTACGTGAGATGTCGGCTAATCAAGTCGGCCGTGTTGAGGCAAATGTTATCTTGGTCTTGACTTAGTGGGGTTAGGTATAATGTAAGACACATATTGATTTCAATAAATAAAAATGTCTACAAATATCCGTTAAAATACTAAATAGAGTTTAGAAAATTTCTACTACTACGAAAATTATAACTCAAACACCTAGATATTTGCGGTTTTTAATTAAGTTACTATTAAAATTATATCAACATATAATTATCACCTAAGACAGGCCAGTCGTGCCTACTTTTTTGTCCGCGAGCTTAGAGCGAAACTAGTAGACCCACAACCCGAATATATCACGGGTCAGGTTGGGCCCAGTTCGCTGTGGGCCTAGCCAGGTATTAACCTAAGGCGGGCTAGGTCCCACGGTTCGAACTGAGCCACGTCCACCTCTAGATTTATTAGAAAAACCCCTTAAGTTAGGGATTATTAATTAAAAACTCCTTTTAACTTTAGGACTTATCAGAAACCCTCTTAACAATGTTATTCAGAGTTTTTACTAGCAAAAACATATATATCATGCATATTTTTGCTCACGCATGTTAAAATTGAGGTTACAGCTATTAGAGAAATTTATGATAAAACATTAGATTTAAAGGGGATTCTTATGGGTTCTGATATTTTAGAAGTTAGGAGAGGTTTTCTGATATTTAGCCTTTTTCCCCTTTAGCTGTGAACAAGAGTCATATCCAAGCTGAAAATCCTATATCAATCCTAAACATGAAAACTTTAATTTCATAAAACCAATCTTCTAATTTATTAGTAAAGCAGACTTTACTACTAGCTAGACACGGGGCAAATTGAAGTAGCTAGCATTACAATCGTAGGCAATGAAAGATAGATCATATGACATACAATATTGGAACTTAAAATCACATAAGTAAATTATCAGAAAGAATCATGTAGCAAACTGAGATGGTTATAAGCTCCTTGCTATAAATGATAATTGCTCTTCTTCAATTCTCTAAGCTCCGATTCAGTTCAAAAAAAAAAAAAAAATTCTCTAAGCTCCGAACATAAAATCACATAAGTAAATTATCAGAAAGAATCATAGTACCAAATTGAGATGGTTAATTATGAGCTCCTTGCTAAATGCTAATTGCTGTTTTTTATTCTTTAAACTCCAAACTAATGGCAATCAAGTCCAAAGGAACACTTATATCGTAGTTGAACCCCTAGAGGTCAAGGGGAATGAACGCACGTATACTAGCCCAGTTTCTTATTTGGTTGTAGTTTATTTATTAAAAAATCCATTGTTTATCCATGTTGCGCTTTATGATGTGAAGATTGAGTAAAAGTCAATAGAATGTCATACACGATTAATTACCAAGGAAGTGTAAACCATATCTAATAGAGTGGATATAGATGTAATCATGATATACTTTTTTTTTTCAATCCACAAATATGAATGTGCACACAACCATCCTTCAAGCATTTTAACAAAGTGTTTATTTTTATACGTAACAAAACTAACCTGAATCAAAATACAGCACCAATGTAATGAAAATGTAAGCTCCTAATAACTAGCCTTATATCATGTGTTCTTTATTAGATACACATATACATTCCAAGAGATTAAATGTATTTAGGGGCTGTTTGGTTGTTGTTGGTAAAATTGTGTATTTATGACACAACTTGAAAAGTTGTTGTCCACTTCATCAATTTCATTTTTATATTTTTCTTTGTTTGTTTTTTATTCCATTGGAATCATAAATTGCTTGTTTGGTTTGCAAATTTAACTTTAATTGTTTGTTTGGAAAGTGTAAAAAACGGTCCCTACTCAAATAATCATATTGGTTGGAATTATTTATTATTATTTTTTCCTGACTTCAATGTCAGCTTTCTCCTAAAATCATGTCTTTTTTTTATGAAATCACTTTACAAGCCACATCAACATATGAAATCACTTTACACTATTTTCACAACTATAAACAAACAATTGAAAGTGATGAAAGCTGACATTGGGACCCACTTTTTTACACTTTCCATTCTTTTACATGGTAAAAACATACAACCAAACAGCCCCTTAGTTATATGAGGACTGCGAGTGACATTCGTGATCGCTCGCCATACATGGGCGACATGTGTTTCCAAATCTAAACCCAATCCTAAACCTATTACGAATTATGGACCACACAAACGACATACACAATAAGGAGAGTAAAGGTCACAACAAAACCAAGAGTTTTTTTACGCAGTTTTAGCCAAGTATGACTACATTCAATGTCTTTCATCCACTATCAATAGAATTAATACAAGTTTGGGTGTCGACAATTACTTAGTTCAATAATATTTTTGTCCTTCAACTTTGGGTGTTGGCTTTGCAAACGACCATCCATCTTGCTTGACAAACTTCTCCCTTCATTGTACTCTATCATTCTTCCAAACTCTAGCAACATTAGCTTTGATACCACTATTGGGGATTATTGAGCACACAAAAAACACACACAATAAGAAGCGCAAACAACATGACAATATAAAAAAGTTTTTTATGTGTTTCGGCCAAACATGTCTACATCCATGGTCTCTCATCCGCTATATTCACAAACCAATACAATCAACATAAGTTTTGCATAGACAAATTTGAAAACCCTCGCACATCTCACATCTCTCGAGGAATGCGAGAACAACAATTACTCAATAGCTCCAAAAGGCCTACAGTCACACTACATCGCTCAAAGAACCCAAGAACATTGATCACTTAAGAGTTCTAAGAGGATCATCCCTCTCCACAAGAAGATGACATTCTCTCAACATAACCACATCCCTTTACAATCTCTAATTAGGAGTTCTAAGGAAATCATTGTGATTTTTTTGTCCGTTAGGATAATTCCATCACCAATTATAAATTTATATGGTTTAGACTTTTCAGAAAGATAAAATACATTACCAATTGTAAATTTATAGGGTTTAGACTTTCCAGAAAGATAAAAATCATGTTTCGCTCTTTAAATTATGCTAGCAAAAAAAGAAGGAATGCAGGACTGCCCGAGATACGTATTGTCGTGGGCTAGGTCCGACCTGGCCTAACCCTTTACAGGCTGTAGGCTGGGCTGGGTCCAGCCCTAGACCCGGAAACTCGATCCAGCCCAATGAGACCCGCCCACGCCTTGGTCTGAACCGGCTTAACCTAAAACCAGCTAGGCCCGTTCATGGGTCAGGCCGGGTCCGGCCCATGCCCGATATTTTTAGAAGTTGCGTGTGTCGAAACAGAAGGATACCAATCTTAGCCCATACATACCATGATACCAAATCTAGCGAGTGGGGTTACGAAGAAAAAAATTAAAAAAACAAGGGAAACGAAAAGGGGGAAAAGAAGAAGAAAAGGATAACCAAACGACACGCCCTCCCTCTCTACTCTCCATAACTAAAACCGTACTCATTTACGATTCAGTTTTACGCCATAATTTTAAGTCCACGAGGAAGGGGAAAGGATAATATTTCTCCAAAAATCTCTAACCCTAGCTAAT